GCAATTTTTAATTCCCCTTCCTTCACTAAACATCTGGGTTTTGTTACAAAACACTATAAAATGACTTTCCAAAACCTTTGACATGTATTCTGCTCAAGAGGACGCAAAAGTTCAGGAAGGAGGGTTCCAAACCAAGTAAGGGTTATTATTTATTCAGCCTTACCAGCAAAATTGGCGTAACCATTTTCTCCTGCCTAACCATTCCATGCTATTTCCAAGGGCACAGGGGTAGGAAGTTAGCATGTTAAGATGATGCTCATTTAATAGAAGAAAAGGACATTACACCAAGGAAACTATTATTCAAGCAGACTCAGTCTGATGAGCCAAGAAAAAGCTGCCTGTGCACAAGGCAGGGCTCTCGAGACACCTCTGCGATTAAGTTACTTCAGAACAAATTAGTGCTCCATGAACTGATTAGACCATAAATAAGCCCAACAGGAAAAAGAGAAGCCACTGACAGACACAGCATCCTCCCAACAGCAGCTGAGCTCTACAGCTCTCATTCAGAATGAACACCAAAAAGCTGTCAGTGCCAAAAGGATTTGTGGCCTTTTTACTCCCAATTCAAAGTATGTCAAAGCAGATGCAATATCTCCAGTAGATAACTAATCACAAGAATCCTATACTTTCATTTTCTCTCGTCACTCAAAACACAAATTGCAGCTCTCTCCCCGACCTAATAATTATTCGTATGGCTGTGTTTTGTTCTTCTCCAGCAGCAGCAGGAAACTTGATTAGAGCTGCAGGAACCCAGCCAGTGACTATCCAAGCTGCTGTTGTGATAGCACAAAGCAGAAGCCAACCCGGCAGGTAATTGGACTTGGAAGTCAGAGAGATCTTCCTCAGTCAGCTTGAAATAGTAATTTCATAGGGGAGAAAATAGGTTGCCTTTATCTACCACAGGTTACCAAAGGAAAACTTTGATCCTAAGGAAGACAGACATAATAAATACCAAGACACACCATCATAAAAAGGTATTAAAGGTGGGGTTTTTCAAGTCTTCAGCAATTCAAAAGGCATTTGGAATCTTTTCTGGAGTCACTATTACACATGCAATCACTTAGGAAAGCACAACATTCCCTTGTTAAAAAGGAGTACTTCCAATGCTCAGCAGTGACATTCTCTTGCCCACTGACTGAATACTTTGGAAAGTCTCAATTACCATCCACACTGTAACAAGGGAATTCAGTCATGTTTTCACAGTAATCCTAGGGAATCCTGGAGGGCTATTGTCAACAATTCCTGCTTCCTAATGCCATACCTCAAGTAATTCAAGTGCACAGTAAGTCCCTTCTTCATTTCTCCAAACTTCACACCCATGGAAATAATTCTGAAGCATCAGAAGCCAATAGAGAAATCTAAATGCTTGCAGAGCCCAAGTCTTGGGAGATTCCAAGATCAGAGTTTCCAGTGACACTAGTGAGCTCAGTGTTAATGCCAGCACCTCTCATATGGGACTGGGGGAGTTCTCTCCCACTGCTCCACAAAAAGAATCCCAACTAACAACATCCAACAAGAAGCCAGGGATGGTCACGAAGAGGAGCAAAGAGGAGTGAAGATTCACCTGTGCTTGTACAGAGACAGGTGTTAACCTGGTGATCTATGGACTCAAACTGGAGGTGGACTGGAACAGGAACATCCACACTTTGCAGAAATTGGGATCATATGGTTTTATGTTGATAGCATATTATTGACCTGCTTAAGAACTGTAAGAAAAACATACTGTCCTCAAGTATTACTCCAGTGATATTAAGCTGGTTCCGTTTTCACTCAGACACCTCTTTCCCTCTTAGACTCAAATATCCCCAATCAAAAAAAAAAAAAGTCACAAACTCCCAAAATACAAAGAACCCTTATGAAAGCCTCCCCTACTCCTCCCAAAACCCAGTGAAGTCTAGTTCAGCATCCCATCATTCCCAGATGGTTATTCTAAAGACAACCTTTTATCCCACTCTCATCACAAGTTCAGCACCTACAGGAAAATTTCTGCCCAAGTAAGCCCTGTCATCATTTCAGACACCAACAGACAATGACTGGAATTTCACAGAATTAAATACTGTGTTAACTGTTGTTTTCATGCATAACTCAATCAAATGAAATAAGCATTACAACTGACCTCTAACTTCGTTAAACAGCTCCAATAGCTTGAAAATAAAACTCACCAACCCTAACTAAGTTATAATGAGCCAACAGCAAACTAACAACTGTGAGTTTGGTAGTCAGAGGAAGGTTTTCACAAATTCTGTTATCATGACTGGTAAACCTTCCTCTTCATCATGAGACTCAGGTCAAGAGGCAAGGAATGGCCTCTCCTGTGATGTGATGATTTTGAAAGAAACTCTCTAATTCAGCAAAGGGGATTATTAATATCTTAATATCTTAAGAAATATCCATATGCAGTTATGAAGGCTCACAGACCCCCATTCCCCAAAACTCCTACTCCAGACATGTCCACACAGACAAGCTTAGGACAGCAGAAGAGACTTCAGCTCTTTTTTTACAGTCAATCCAATTTCGACAATGCTGGAAAAATTCCATCTCAAATGGTCTGATTTTTGTCAAATTGGAGACTCCACAAAATTTACTGAATAGTGCCTAAGCAGAGTTAATAAAATAGGTTTTAAAGTCCAGTGCATAACATTGAAGAGATGCCTCTGTATTTCAACAACTCTGAAAAAACTCCAGACTTACTGCCCTATGCACTGCTTTTCTCCTAAATACACCCATATACCCTCAGAAGGCCAAACATTTCTGAATTTTCTTCAGCACCTCAGAAGGCAGAGCAGCAAAACAAGTGCTCAGTGGAAAAAACAAAAGGCAGTGATTCATATGCAATTAGCTCAGCTAAATTTACTACTGAAGCCATTGCTACTCCAGCTGTCCTTGACACCTGCACAGCAGGGACAATGGAACATGACAAGCATCCTCTTACCATCTATTGCAGTGCTCAGGCTGACACATGAACTTGAAATTGGTGACAGCTACAGTTCTTGAGCTGCTGCATTAATGCAATCAGCACAAAACCAGTCATGCACCTCATTCAAGCCTCCATTTGTCACAGACAAAACCAATGGAGGCAGCCAGGGCTTCTCCCACTCTGCAAAATCCACCACCCAAAAAGCATCAGTACTCTACACTTGTCTTTTTATTCACAGATTCAGTTTACAGTGACAGACAAGCAGAACAAATCAGAAAATTGGTACCTGAAAAGTTAAAATGAAGGATGCAAAGGGAAGAAACTTGTTAGCACCCTAAGCAGCACAAGTTTCTGTTGGTTTATCTTTCTTAAATACAAGTTAAGACTGAAAGACTTGAGAGCACAAGTAAACTTTTGAGGTCAAGTTGCCCATTATTTTGTAAGAACTAAGCAGCTCACTCTTTACTAGCCTGTGTTTCTTCAGCCATTTACACAAGTTACATGCAGAAACAATTCTCAGTAAAACAATTCAGGCTCTGGTGCCTAAGATGTGAGAAAAGCTCATGACAGCATCTTTAAAATATAAGTGTTCTTTCTGTGCATGGAAAGAGCATCACTGAGAGCCACTGCACCACTGTTCTGGCACACATCCACCAGCCCTGCCCCAGACAGCAGCACAAATACACAAAAGCTCTTTTCTAAGGGTTCAGAGAAAGTGCAAAATACATTCAGCTTGACACATCTACCCGAATCCAAAAGCTCAGAAGAAAGGCTTTAATGTCCCAGATCCTCTGCTATCTTTATAAGGACACTAATTGGTACAGCACACATATTTTATCTGCACTACAGTAACACCACAGATGAACATTAACCAGATTCCTTGTGGTGCCTGCCAGGTGTTTAAATATTTTGCAACTCAAATGCTGAAATACTATCTGCAGTCTAAATGCTTAAGATCATCCAGTGAGAACATGTGTATATTTTCATCCACTATGCAAAAAACATTTCTTCCCCATTTGTTACATTTTAAGCAACAAACTAGAATTACCAACATATACTACAGGTCTATTCTGAAGGTTGATTTCACCAGCAAGATTTAAGTCACAAAAGCTTTCATTTTGATACCAGAAAGACTGAAAAATATTTACTGTAACTTTTAATCCAAAAGACTCCACATTTATCAGTAGCAGGAAAGCCCTACACAATGTTCAAAGAGAACAAGTTCTGATATTGGGTATTTTGATAAGTTTAGGCACATACTGTGTATGGTGTGTATTAGAAAAGAAAACAATTCCATACTATGTATTAAACAACATTCTTCTCCTGGTCCAAGTCAGACAACACATTTCTGAGCACGGTGGAGATTCTCTCTGTCCCAAGAGATATTTCAGTGAGGTACATTTCATACAAACCATCCTCTTGTGTGAGTGTGCCAGCACATCACTCCCCCTCCAGTTTAGCATAAACTCTACTCACTTCTTGCTTTTAAGAAAAAGGCTTTGAGAAGAGAGGTAGGAAGATCTTTTGCAGCCTGAAATATGTTCTACCACCAGAATTCTGACCTGGACAGTCCTAGACATTAACATGTTACTATATTAATATATTAACTTTGCTGCTCTTCCTCCTTCACTCACACTAAACTTCAGTTAAAAATTTGTACAGTATCATTATTAGCAAGAAAAATGAACGGCCCAAAGGGATCAGGACATTTTTTATAGCATGTCAGTTATCTTGCTGAAGAGGAAAGAAATATCACTCCAGTGAGAAAGAAACTGAAATACTTTTTGTGTTTTTACCCCCTGTGTACTCTATGGCTTGGATGAAACAGTCAGCACTGACAGCCAGCTTTCTGAACTGGGGCACGAAGGTCACATTATCTCATACCTGATCTTATAGATTATTTTAAACAGGTAACTGGATTATAGCTATATACCCTAGAAAGCAAATCCACTGCAGCCTCTTCATTAAACAAAACTATTCTACAAGCACAGAATAAACTGGCAGCAAGGTAAATCAGCAGCAATACCTGAGTTGTTCTCCACTCAGGAGCATCAAAAACCAGGATTTGCCCAATGTCACATACCTTTGATGCTTGAGGAGTAGAGATGACATGAACAGTGCTGGCTTTAACTCCATTTGCTTTAGGTCGCTTATAAAGGGCAAATCTGCTTTTTCTGCGCCCCCTGTCACCATTAGGAAGGGATCCATTATACCTGGAAATAAAGGAAAAAAGTTGAGCAAAGAACACCACCAGTATGGAATACAGCAAAGGAAAGAGAGGTAATTAGGCCACAATATTCTGGTATCATCAAATGCATGGGGCCAAACAAAAAAAGTAACAATCAGGCTAAGTCTGGCTTCCTGCATTGAGCATTCAAACATTCTTTACCTACCAATGGTTGAAATTCTGTTCCCTTTAAAAAGGTAATTAACTACAAATTAAATACTCAGTTTTTCAGCCACAGAAACACTTCTTCACCTCCAGAATCAAAGGAATTTGGAAGAACAAACTCATCTTCACTTTCATTTCAGAACATGAGGAGCTCTAAAACGTTTTTACACTACCAGCCATCTGCCCATACTTCATGCAGGAATGGAGGAAGAACAGAGGCAACATGGAAAACCAAAATAATTTAGGGGCAAGTAAAACTATGTGAAAAGGAATTTTACTCACATAAAATGCTTTGCTAGTTGTGTCCCCCTCATTTTTAAAAAAACTTTAAACCTAAAGGTTTCATTTATTATTAAGGAAACAGGATGCAAGTGTTTTTAACTTATGTGACTTTATCAGGTGTAACACAGGAGCCCTCACAGTTCTTTCATCTCTCCCTGAGGACACAGACCCAATGGATTAAGAGAGAAATCTGAAGCCTCAAGGGGACAGAGCTCCTTCCCCAGGGATGGGATCAACTGGAAATTTCTTTGCAGTGCACAAGCACGGAATTCACCATCACCTCACCCCCAAATTTGGGTCACCACCCAAATTTTTTTACCACCATTCCTGCCAACTCTCAGCTGGAAAAGTTTTCAGGGCTTTACTGACTCCCATTCCTGATCCTCAGAGATTTCAGACTTTCACCCAAGAAACTGCAGATGTTATTTCACTGCTAAATCTCTTCTGTCTTACTGGTGAGGTCTGTTCTATACTGATCTCATATAACCTCTCCTACAGTCTTTATGATTACAGGTTAACATTGCAGGCAGAAAGAGAATATTAAAAGGAAAAAGGCAGCAATGCAGTAACCCAGAGTATTTATTTTTTAATCATTACATCCTGTATATTAAACTATTTGTATAACAGGAGAATGCAGTTGGAGAGCCTCCTTTCCTTCTAGGAATCCCAAAGGCAGGACTGCTGAATGACTGAGTACAAGCAAGAACAGATTTAAGATAAAAATTATCTCAAATCTCACTGCTCTAGACCTTAAAACCTAGACATTTTTTTAAAATGCACATTTAATACATGATGCTAAAGCCACACAAAGTTGACAGACTTCCAGCTGAACTTGTCCTCTCATTTTCATAGGTTAGACTACTGTGTCCTTCTGGAATATTAAAGGAGATTCCCTAACACAGCACAAAACCAACAAAGTTAATCACTAGTATTTCATGCCAGACCTACTTGCACCTTGGAAATTTGTTATTAACTCTACTCCAGAGAAGTGCAGCCTGTGGATCCTTATCACAAGAAACCAATCTCTAGAAAGATACATCAAAATGTTCCACAGGCAGCTTAAATACCAGCACTTAAAACAGGAGTTATTTGATTCTCCACTTGAATCTCCCTGGGTAAATGCACATGCTTTCTTTCAAAGACACTATTATCAGGAATATGCCAGCAAGTTTCAACTTATTGAAGACAAGATTCTTTCTACAAGTAATTTTATCTGGAAACCTAAAAAAGTAACAATTCCCTCAGAAATAATATATAATTATTATATATTACCATTGATAGCTTTATATCCTGTAATTATTGATTTTTTTAATGCTTGTGTAACTGCTAAACAGTACTGAATTAAAGTAGTTCCACTGGAAGTTAAAACCAGGCAAGAGAGGTTTGATTGTTTGGGGGATTTTCTTCCTCATTTTTAGAACACAATTTTAACTGGGGAAGGCCAATCTATTTCATTTCAGGTCTCTGTGGCGTTTAATGACTTTTAAAATAGATAACTAAAGAAGCTCAAAGTTAAAAGACCTCTTGGAGTCTTCAAATAGGAAGGAAATCCAAGCAAAGTGAATGTTGAACTCATTCATCCTCATTAGCACTGACAAATTCTCATGAAGGTTTTCCTTGTGCCCATTTCTACATTTCCTTTCCACAAAGGGCAAGAGCAATTGAGTGGTAGCTTTATTATTTTTTATGCTTCAATTATAGACCTGTAAGTTTGATTTTGATCCAACAGTGGTATAAAGATCTGGGAGAGTTCCTAGGGATACACATATGTATTAGAAGGTGGGGGGGAAATGAGGATGTGAGAAGTTGCCTCTTTCCACAACAGCAGCTCCACATATTAGTAGCTAATTTCTTTTTTGTTCTGCCTTCACTCAGAGTCAGGATTGAAGCACAAGAGATGGATTTTTCATGTTCAGACTGAGTTGTTTATTAATTCTTATCTATAGTACAGAGAGTTCTGCAGCACTTCTAGCTAACAAGCTAAAAGTGAGAAAATGGAGGTAGATCTAGCTAGTTACAAGGTCTTTTAAAGCCTAATTATCCAATTAAAGGTTAACATCTATATTATTTATACTTTTGACCCAATAACCAAACACCTGTGACCCACACTGTGGTACTTACTATCCAATTAAAAAACCACTACCTGAAATCATGAAGGAGGAACAAGAAGGAAGAAGAGACACCACCCAAGAACCTCCATCTAGTCCCATATTCTAAAACCCCAAACTCCAAACCCTTTACCATGTGATATTACACACTTCTAGTCAAACTACACACCAGTGATCCCAACTCCATCACTCAAATTTGGAAGCCTTCTCCAAGATCAAGTCAAAAGCAGTGCTCTTTTGAGGTTCAGAAAGCACAGAAAGTTCAAAACTCCCAGGCTTTAAGGTTCCAACATTTCCACAGCCAGCAGACACCTTCATTTCTCCCAGGCCAGGCCTCTCAAGTTGCTGCCCATGGCACTGCAGCCACACCTGAACAAGCTCCCTGCCCAGCAGTGATGCCCTGGGATGCTGCCAGCCATGGCAGGATTGCTCCTTCCCAGCCTCTGTGCCCTGCTCAGCCCCCACAGCCTGGGCTGTGCCACAGGACACAGCTGGATTTCAGCACCCAGGACGAGGAGCAGCTGCCCACACCTTGCTGGGTCAGCTTTCCTAAGCACAGGCACGAGGAACTACAACAAAACCTGCCCTGCCCTCTCCTCTCCATCACTCTCAGCTCTTCCACTCAGCAGTGCCCAGGACAGCAACAAGTGCCTCCCTTGGAGCAGCAAGAGGATGGAATCACATATGGAGAAGGGACAAGGACCGAGGACACAAATTCCTCACCACCAAACACTTCCTCTCACAAAGCTGCTCCACAAGCAGGAGCCATTTCCCTTCTCCTCTGCACTCTTCCAGCAGCTCCAGGATCAGCTTAGGCACCAGCACATCAACACACAACTTTTTGCTTCAAAAGAACTTGCAGCTGGAACTTTCTTTCACTCCACCAAAAATCCTGGAACAAATGTTGTTTCCAACTAATAAATAAGGAAAAAAAATAATCAATTTCACAACGACAGAACGATAATTTCTGAGAGCACCCTGCCCACACACAGATCTGTGGGGCACTTGGGAAGTCCTCCAGATGTTCATCAGGCCAATACACATGGAAGGAGCAGTGCTGTGCTTTTTCCAAAGGCTTCTCAGTGACAGCAGTACTGGGACAAGCTGCATCATGAAACCTCCTGGGATAATTATCTCAGTTGATAGCACTATTCCTTGCAAATAAGGGAGTGGTGCTGGCATGGGCTATGGACACCGTAATTATCAAAGCCAGTTTCCTACAGATTTACATCAAACACTTGAAGAGTTTGGTATACAATGAGCTGCAAACTCCAATTAAGCTTTTCCCATGGCTGGGATATGTAATGAAAGCCTCTCCTCCGCCTGGATTCAGGGCTGTCTGGAGAGCAAGACCACACATGCTCTCTCCCACAGTCCACTGTGGCAAGTTCCTACCGTCTGCAAGTCTTGTACTACTTGTACTACTACAAGGACTTGTCTGCTTCAGAGATCAGCAACAAGCTTTGAACTGTTTGTCAGAAGGCTTGTTACACAAGCTTGTTTGGTTTATGTATATTTTGGTTTTGTTTGTTAAAAAAAAAAAAAAAAAAAAAATCCAGCCTAGACAGTGGCAAAGAGTAAATGACAGCTCTGTTACATAGTACAAGAGCTCTAAATCTTGAAGTGCACCTTGGAAAGTTTGACTTCAACTAAAGGAAGTCATCCTTAGATTTGAGGTATCTGCTAGCTGACATTGAAGGTGCTGCATGTAGCTGAGTATTTTTACAATGCTATCAAAATACAAACCATCATAAACTTAAATACTTCTGCATACCTATGCAAACTACCTCCCAAAAGACTAAAACTGAACAACTCCTGATTTTCACCAGTAATATTTCCTCCAGAGAAAAAGGAGCAATTTTGCTTTGTTCTCCTTGTCTAATACTAACAGATGTACAGCACACCTTGTCGTTTTTGGAGGAAAACCATCCCAAATGACAGACTTGGATACAAACAGATAAGATGCTGCAGTTCAGTTGTTTCCATAGCTTTAGTGAGTCAAACAGCACATCTTTACTCATTTAAACAACAAAGCTGCAAAAGTGAAGTCAGACTTGAGTCAATCTTCCCTTGTAAGTATATTCTGATCCTGTATTTGGTAGAATCCTGTCGTACATACTCCACAGATAGCAAAATTCAGTTTGTGCTTACATCCCTGAACCAGTGTGGTCCCACACTGCTGCCAAAAGCAGTAGTCTCACCTTTCTTTTGTTAATTCATTCCCACTACTTCTCTCTCCTACAAAACTAGATTTATGCTTTAAGTTCAGTTTTAAAACCACATTCCTCACTCTCCAGCCCACTGCAAAGCCACAGAAACACTTGTATCAGCAACACAGAAAACAGCAGAGAGCAAGAGAGATTCCCTTGGAAGTACTGTGAGTCTACAGCTATCATGACATCCACCACAGATGAAGGCTAAAATACATTAT